TACAGTTAAAGTGCAGTGTGTGCTGAAGTTGAATCACTGTAGTGAATAGAGAGTTAACTGTAAAACAACTAAAACAACAAGCTTAATGTGTATATCTGTGGAACTGCATTTCTCAACTCCCCAAAGCGTTCCCTTTTGCCTCTACACAACTCCTTCAACTACTTAATAAGCCCCATTCTACTTCTAACTCATGTTTAGTTCCTGCCCAACTAACAGAAGTAATTAGACCTTATCCCAGTGAAAATAATGTGCAACCACACACTAAACGTTTCTGCTTCTGGTCCCTATCTGATGTATGCAAGTGGATTATCCAGTATAGTGAGGTGGTAAATGGAATAATCAGAGGAGAACAAACATTCAAATTGTCAGCGTATCAGGCGTGATGAGAGGATACTGGCTTTGTGTTTGTAAATGCATTACTCATAGCACTAGTGCTGTCACGTCCGTTTATCCAATGGAGTGGGAGGGAAGCTTTAAACCTTCTGGTACATATGATCAAAAACCAAAAGAGAACTATCAAAGAAACACGTTAGAAATCGCCCGTTGCTGTGTCTGGCAAAATACTTTATCTTCCTTTTAGAAACATATTTTCTAATCCTAATCAGTGATTTAAAACTTTTAAATAATTGATATGAATTAATATCCTGGAATGGTCACTATCGGAAATCCAAGCATTCTTTCCTGTGTCCATGCCTCGTATATCTCAGCACACATATATCAGCCACTACCAGGATTCTTCTTGACTTTTCAGAGTTTCGCACAATCGTGTCCAGAGGCACAGAGGGATCTTTTGGCTTCATTTGCATGTAAAGTGGTGCGCGCTCCTCTGTGGGCGTGAGGTGCCTCCAGACAGCTCCTCCCCCGTGGCCTGCCAGACTGAACCAGCCAGCAGCCCTCACTCTTCCCTACCTGCTGGGGTGGGGCATGACAGCACAGTGTGCAACATCTTAAGGTCCTGTCAATCTCTCCACTGGCCGACTGAGGTCAGTCTTCTGAAGAGCAGCAGGTTGGCAAGGACAAACACGACCCATTCACAAAGACTCCCCTCAGCCAGACAGACAAAAGGCATGGACAAGATATTAAAAAGGCTCACACAGGGCCGCTGAGTATCAAATATGGGGATAGCAATGCTCCTGGCACTGTATAAGTATCCAATAAAGCAAAAGTATCGGGAGCTAATAAACAAGTAGGGTAAGAAGACTGTGTAGACAAATGCACTGTGAGTGGCAGATTGTGAAAAAGTCGATGTTGATGGAGGTTGCTGGGCATTTCGGGAGAGTGTTGAAACCATCTTATCAGAGTTAATAAAAGGAGAGGGTGTTGCTGGCTGACCCATCATCTTTCTTCTCATCAGTGTGGTCTCCAGTCTCACAGCAGTGGCTAGAGGAGTGGGACCTGGCTCCAAGATTGTGTTTAGATAATGGCCATCTCCAATCATAGATAATCTGGGCCCATCTTTTCTTCACAGACACAGCGGCAGACAAGGTCAGGGGGAAAAAGATTCCTGGCGAGGCGAGGCGGAGATAGGGATGGGGCGGCTCTGAGATGATTTACTGCTGAGATTCACTCAGCTGCCTCCATCACCCTCCGTTAACTTTCTCATCCTGTCGTCTCTTCCCCTCTCGCTCTTTTTGTCTTCCATCTCTCACTCTCTCCCATTCCTCCATGGGCCTTGTACTGAATCCCCACTTCTCTCTCTATCACTTGCTTCATCTCCCCCTTTGCACTGCAGTACCAATGAGAGAGAGGGAAGAAAAAAGAAACAAAGGTGGCAATAGGGGAGGACCACGAGATGTCTACTTTTCCTCATTTCTGCCTGTTTTGGACTGAAGCAAATTGCTTGGGTTTCAAGTGGAGATATAGTGATGGCTGTTCTTCCAACCAACCTCCAATGAGCAATGAAGGAAAGATACATGCCTCGGTTGCATTTCAGTATTTCTGAGTCTAAATCACGAAATGATATGGGAAGAACTGTGCAGAAAACCTGGTGTTAGGTACACCGCTTAGATATAGAATTAGTGAACAAGAGGTCATTCGACTCAAGGGACTGAAATAGATTTAAAGGCTGTGAAGCTTCCCTCCCAGGCTCCATTCTTCCTTAAAAATCCAAGGAAAAAAAAAATAACGTAAGCCATGAGTCATTGTAATAGACAGTCAAGGAATCAGGCCTGTGATCCACAATGGCAGCCGAGCGGCAGGATTGTGTGGCGCCAGCCACCCCCTAGTCATTTTCTGAGCGCTGGTTTTGCTTCTCCTCCTGACGCGTCCATATCCCCGGAGAGTTGACGTCTCTCAGGGACACGGTGAACAAAAGAGGGGCTACCGGAGTCTCCAAATGGAGTAATGGGCCCTAATGCCTGCACAGGCACGTAATCGAGACCCCTGCACAAGTTCCCATGACAGATAATTGCTGGTGTCTTGGTAGTGATAAATGTGACTCCATTCTAGAGGTGCAAATGTCCCGGTTCAGCCCTGGGTTTGACAAGTCTAGAGGCCCCACTGGGATTGGTGCACCTGACTGGCCCTCAGCCTTCCATATATGAATCTCCGGCTACTTTCTCTCCTTTAGTCAGCCCAAGCTGGGATGTCTATTTTCCTTTAACCACAAGCCTTCATAGTAAATCTCATTTCATTGTCAGCCACGACTGTGGTTTACTTCCCTGGCCTGTCTGCTGACTTCCTGTTGCCATTAACGCTCAATATCTCTGTTGGGGCCTGTCTGCTTGGTCTTATTTCATTCTGTGCTGTGTCCTATCCTGTCCTCCTATATAGAAAGTTCATCTGACAGACTAGCGGGGGCTGTGCCAGCGTAAGAGCCCTCTGTATTTCATTCACACTGCCTGTTCGTCTCCCTTCTCTTTCTGCCGAAAAAAGGGTAGTAATTGATATTGGGACCCATCCATCCTCCCCTCTTAAGCCCAGAGATCCAATTTATCTTGGTGAGAATGCCGATTGGCTCTCTCCCAGGCCTTGTCGGTCAGACTTTGCCTGTTTTTAGATGGCCGTTAATTAAAGTGCTGCCATGACAAAAATAAGATCTACATGGGGGTGTGTGTGGCAATAGAAATGGGCCATCTGATTCACACTTGACCACATAAATCAGCGAAGTGGCTCAGTCTAATCTGACCTAGGCAGTCTAAATCACCACTCTGAAACGAAAGCACAGGGCTGACACAGACCGGTCCAATTAGATCCAATTCAACCCATGTAAATCTTTAACTGGCTTAATCTGCATTAACCTCAGTGATGTTAGTCACAAATGGCTTCAGAATGATCTAGTCAATCACCATCTCAGTCAAACTGGAGGTGGAGGGCGGAAGCTGTGCAAGAGAATCAGCACAATGTCAAAGCAGATTTGCATATTTTAATTTAACATTTCGCGCCTAAACAGATGGGTTTACTTTTTAAACCAGTATGGACAGCGTGTCCATTGAGTTCAACGGGAGGTTCGTATCACAGACGGAATCACACTGAAAATGAACCTTTTCGATAGTTTGTGTTGGTGCAATCATGCGACAAAGCTATTAATGAGACAGATACATTGATAGGAAGGTGGGGAGGCGTGTAGGCGGGTAGGTAGACAGGAAGGTACAAAGGGTAACCAAAAGTTCTGATTCTGTTTATGGTGCATTTGCAAGCATTAACTGTCTTGAGTCAGCATGCAGTGTGACTTTGTGTTATCAACAGCAGGACCTGTTACATATGTTTTGGTGACCAGTGGTAGGTGTGCATTGGCAAATTCTCTGTGGACCGCAAACTAGAGCCATGATGAAAGCATCAAAGTCTGTGTCAGTCAGCAACCCTGGATGAGCCTACCTTCATGCCGAGAATCATCACCGGTGATGAGAATTGGGTCTCCGGCTACCACGAGAGAAGAAATGGCAGGTTTTACAGTGGATAAGCCAATGAAGTGTCTTCAAAATCGGACATTAGATTAGGAACGCATCAGGAGCATGCTCGTTGTTCTCTTAAACGTTTGCGTGGTTGTGCGTCATTAATTAACCCCCCAGGGTCGAAGTGTAACACAAGGCCAATCCAACATTCCACTGTAATGTCCTGAGGTGTATAAGAGAGAACCTTCCACCTGAACTGGGTTTTTTTTTAGCCACAACAACACAATCTTCACCCCCCCACCTGCCCCACTCACTAGATTTGGCTCCCTGTGACTTCTTCCTCCTCCCTAAAATTAAAATCCAAGTTGAAGGGTTGCTGTTTTGACACGATTTAGAATATCTCGCGCTTATTGCTTATGGTGCTTGACATGTTTACATAAAGGAACCTCCAGGAAGCATTACAAGCATTGTAGAATCACTCGGAGCACCCGGATCGCTTCACGGGGAGGCTACTTTGATGAAGATGGTGACCAAATTTAAATCAAGTACACCCTCAGAGCTTTTTGATTACCCTTTATACTGTAGAGTTTTTTGCTTGGTATAATCAGTTAATTGTGCTATTGTTTTTTTGGGATAAAACTAATTCTGAGGATACCACAAGAGTTTCAAACTTCTTAAATCAACATACATCAAATTGATAGTGTCTCTCTCCAAGTAGTAAATCTGGGCCCTTTCTATAAGTTTGTGTGTTTGTGCTTATCTGTGTTTGTGTATCTTTGGAGTGTATTCCCGTCTTATCTGTACACAGACTTTATTATCACTCTGTGGAAATCGAGGGGTGTAGATCCTCCACTCTCCATTCTTTTCCCCTCTGTCTCTCTCTCTCTATTTTATTTCTCTTCCCTTTCTCGCCATGTCTCTCTGTCTTGTCTTTGAACTGCTCCCAGTGACTGTGAACCTGAGACAGCCCCTCTGCTGGCACAGATGGGAAGTCAATAGAAGCAAGTGACCTATATTACAGGCTACTCTACTAACTCCCAGTGTGTCTCAAGTGAGAGCAGAATATTAAGGATTGCGTGAGCGCTGTTCCAGTGTATTTGTGTGTTTGCGTGTGTGCGTTTTTTTTTAAAGGGGGTGTGCAGCAGAGACCAGGAGAAGGTTAATTACCTCCTCGTCCTTCGCTGTCGGCTGGCTTCACCTGGATGGGCCGGTTCATCTGGAGAGAGAGAAACGGGGAGAGAGAGAGAAGGAAGAGAAGGGAAATCCCAGGTTAGCTGGAAACAATAGGAGCGGCTGCTACAATATGTGAAGTGGGAAGAAAAAAACATGAAATGTGGCAGTGTTCCTGGTGTTAATGTCCTGAGTTTGTCCTGCTCTGTGAGCTAAACACAAAAATCAAACAGTGACGATGGCGTAAAAAGAGATAAATCTGTGCAGTACTCCATGCCAGCGTGTTTAATTAATCCAGGGCACTGCCTCTAGAGATGCCTGAATTCCCCTCACAGTTCAGCAGAATTAGCACTTTTCAATGACGGAGCCACACTGGGGTGTCAGATGGCACTTGGAGATTAATGCCATTACATCAGCCACTCCCAGCCCCACCGGGAGAGGTCCTTTCTGGCTGGCCCTTGCTCTTCCTGTCCCCTCCTGGCTCCAGACTCCCAGTCACCAGCTATATCCTGCTCATCCCTGACCCTCAGCAATCCTTCTTACTCTCCCTTCATCCCTTCCTCCTCCCTCACCTCTCCACCCAGAAGCCCTTTTGCAGATCACGACCAATATGCTACTGGTCTGGTCGGCCAACTCCACCCTGCCCAAGCCTCCTCCTTCTCCTGGAAGCTACTGAAAGCCACCGAGCAGCACAGACATGAAACAGTTTGTGAAAGGTTAACAGTGGGGATGGATAAACAGCCTTTGCAGATTCATTTAATAGAGAGGTGAAAGGAAAATATTGCCAAGCTAAGTTTAAAAAAAAAAAAAGCAAAACTTTTAAAAACTGCCTGCCATGAATAAAAACTCCTCTGGCTTGTTCTCCCTGGTGTTTTCGTATGGAAACAGAAGGACTCGATCCTGTGCTTTCTGTGAAACAGGAATAATATCCCCTCTTTGCTCTGTGAAAAGGGTGGGTGTTTGGAGCCACCCTCGAAGACCCTTGCTTATTGAGGCTACCTACGCGCGTCATATTTGGCATTGTGTTTTATATTTGGCATTGTGTGTTTTTTTTCTAGCTTCAGCTGGCAGTGGTCCTATCTTTCTAACTAGGCCATGCGGACAGGTCCAACATGTGAGTGCCAGTGAATGGCACACAGCGCTGCCCACTCAGATCAGTCAGCTAGGGCAGCACAGTGGGTGTTGGGCCCTCAGGCAACGCAGCACTTGACAGCAGTTGACATGAGCTCGGACCATTGCTAAATATAGACCTCAGAATGGTGGACATGTATAGACAGGCATATACATGGTGACACCCCGGGGACGTAATGTACTCTCCGAGCAATATGCTGTGACACTGGAACAAAGCTTAGCGAGATGACAGACACATCACAGAGGCAAGCACATGAAACTGTACACAAACACGCACATAGAAAGAACCCAGAGACGGGGGCGACAAAAGAAGTACTGAAAGTTCTCACTAATTAGAATTACGTCTTGCTCGCCAATTTTCACATTGTAATGATATAAGGTATGTTGCCTGGTTACAATGACCATCTTGCATAAGACCAGATATACAAAGGTCACATACCCAGTTTCTTCAAATGTCAGTGTTGGATAATTTTAGGTACATTAAAAGTAAAGCTGAGGTGACTAATTATTCTTTCGCGCCTGAAACAAAGATAAGGAAACTTTGACATGGTTTAGAACAGCTACAGCCATTTCTGTGTTGGTGGCTGGCTCACGAAGACTCAGGGAGGATGGAGTGAATATGTAATTCTCTTAAGACTGTGTTTTTAGTATGATAGAGCCCTTACAGTTTATTTGAAAGGCCTTAAAGTCACTCTCTGGTCATTCTTTAAACACCCTGCTAACTCATTTATATGTATCAAAATGACATTCTTACAGTTGTTGTTTCTTTTCCCACAAAAATAATCCTTTTATGCCTTAAAATGGCTGAGATGCTATTGGACATCTTTACTCCCCAGAAGTCTGAATCTGTGTTTTTGAGACTGCCATTGGCACACTGCAGCTACAAGGCGGAAACGCTTAGCCATGGTGATGAGTGCTTATGTCGCTCATGGTGTGTCTTCCAGCATATTAAAAAAAAACACCATATGGACATGTTAACAAGGTAGAAACAGCCAGTTTTATTCCGCTGTATAGTGGCTGGAGAGCAGCGCTGAATATGTTTACGTGTGACTAAAGTTCAGGAAGGATGAAACACTGATGTATGTGTGTCTGCTGTAGAACAAATTAAGGTCAGATGTAAGTTAAGTTGAACTGTGTGTACATATGTCGGTGTATGTGTGTGTGAGAGTGTGTCCTGACAGCGTATCACAGGAGGTTTAGGGTGGACTCAAGTCCCAAGATCCCTGTGCAGTGATCAGTCAGCTTCCAGATCTTAAACGACTGGTCAGGAGGCTTCATTAGTAGCCCCTGAGTCACTGCAGCAGCAAGAGTCATTAAACAACCCAAAAGTACACTTGGGGTTGCTAAGCAACCAAGTGGAGGTGGCCAGCAGGCAGGCAAGGCAAGCTGGCTGTTGGTCTGCAGGCTGTTAGCCAACCAATTGGCACTCTTTTCTTTTTTCTTTTTTTTTTCTTTTTTTTTAAACTTGGTCCAAGGAGGTCATAGTGAGAGAGGAGGGAAAAAAAGATTTCTCAACTCCCACCTTCCAGCATGTCCCACTTTCATGTCCCTTTTTAGTGACTGTGACAATGAGTTTTCAGAGCGAGTCTGCTGCAACTTCTGCTCCAGCTTCCTGCCAAATTATGGAGTTCAGCTTGATGCCAAAGTACGGGGTTGTGAGTCGTGCTCACATGCATATGGCTCGAGTTAAGATGTCTGCTTTGCTGAGCTGCTTTATAGTGTCCTCTACATGCATTTTCTCGAGCAGACTGAGGGAATGTTTCAAGCACACAAGCTTACTGCACAGAAATTTTGAAGTTCACTTTACTTTTATCCCTCCCTCTCTCTCTCTCTCTCTCTCTCTCTCTCTCTCTCTCTCTTTCGTTCTGTCTCTTCCTCTCTTTTTCTCACACACTGTGACACACACACACACACAAGCACAAAAGTCTTGGGGCTCAATAACAGCAGGTGGCTTAGGTGACATTTTAATCCCTTATTACTGAGTGCAGGATTAGCCAACAGATCAAGGCAGAGTTAATTATATGAATTCATCAGAGGCTGGGCGAAGAGGCTGCCTGCTTTCCCCTTGGGCCAGGACCCACCCCCACCTCACCACCCACCCTTTGCGCACGCACACACACATGCATACGTACGCACACGCACGCGCCGAGGAAGATGACAAGTGACATTCTGTATGTCTGAGAAGCCAGCTACTTCCTTATTAGCATTGCAGTGGCAGAAAGCTAAGATAACACATACAGTGGAGCCTCCAGAGATGCTGTAAGACAAATGACATCTACTACCTTCCCGTTGGGCCTGGCGAAATGAACTGCATAGACATCGGAGAGGAAGACTACAGGCTTTTTCATCCTGCAGACGTGCGGCTGCCGAGGCTGAAAGGAGTTCAACCACCCCCCGTCTTGCTTTATCTTTGTCTCTCCCTGCCCCTTTGGCCTCCAAAACCAATATGCTTCCCACCACAGCCCCTTAATGGGTTGATCAATGCTGACAAATAGGCAGCTCATGCTGTCTTGCCTGGGAACTCACGGCTCTGTGCCTGTGTGCTGCTGCACTTAGAGAGGCCAGCTCTCTTTCTCCTCAACTCTCCCTTTTTTTTCTGTCTTTCTTTCACTCGCTTTTTTCTCTCCATATTTCCCCTCCTTCATGCTCTATTTCCTTTATGTCTATACATTCATTTTTTTTTCCTTTGTTCTAATCTCCAGGGGTAAATCTATATTTTTCATTCAGTTATGATGAATAAAAGTCAGCTGAAGTCACGGAGGGGTGGAGAACCAACAGTGTGGAAGAGAGGAGCTTGCTTACATTTTCCACTAAAGGACTGTGTGTAAGTTTTTAGAGGGTGTGCGCTTTTTTTTGCGTGTTTGTGTGTGTGTGTGTGTGTGCGTGTGTGTGTGTGTGCGCGCATTTCGGTCCGTCTGTCTCTGCGTCTGATTGATAACGGTGCAGTGGAGAGAAAGACGGACAAGGACACCGCTGGCCTTTGACCGTGTTTGACCATGCTGTGTGAATACCACTGCTCACAAAGCAAGCAAGGAGGAATGTTATCTTCCAGACACTCTAAATACAGAAAAATGCTCTCTTACAACCATGACAAAAGTGTGAGCACTTACACTCGTCCTCCACTGTCGAGTCCCCTTGACTGCAACTCTTACGTTGCATGAAGAGGGAACTTTTAGGGAACAAAGTTAAACTGGACAAAATTCACTTGTGATAAAGTTCCGATCTGTAAATTGATTTTTTTTAATTCATTTATTTATTTTTTTTAATCTACGAAACAACAGCAAAAGTCTGCATGTGATAAACCTTCTTTGGTAAATTAGTAAGGACATGCTAATTAACAATGAACCCAATGAACAGACAGTGTCTTCTGATGTAGATATTTGCTGTGAGCAGTGGCTTAAACCTACAAAAACTCCTTTAACTACAGCTGGCGCAATAAAAAAAAAAGTCACTCAGACAGCAAGCTAAATCCATAAAATCCATAAAATGAAAGATAATTCCAAACAATGGTTTAACAAGGCTGCAACAAAATTGAGCTCCTCCATATTGAAGCCCGTTCTGGCTACACATTTACAACAATCGGTGGAAGCACCGCGTCACGTGCGCATGATGCAAAAAAACGAGAGCGTGTCCGCGCGCACCTGCTATTTTCGTTCTTCAGTGAGCATCCGCGCATGACAGTCGCGTTGGGTGAATTGTGATATTAATAGGAGGGTGTGGTGATGAATCATTACCTCCTCATCCAGTCACATTACTCATCTCATAACTTTTAAACAGCTGTGCCAATCACAGCGGCACATGACGAATGTGGCTCACCAAATTAAAGGAGTCTCGGCCAAATAGAACAATATTCTTTTCCGGGAAGCGCGGCAGGGACAAAGACGATGTTATATACAATTTGTCCTAATAAACACG